TTTAATTTCATTAGAACATATTATGATTTATTATTATTTTGGTTTGTGTAATTTTATTTCGGTTTTATAGTTTTGTTAATAGTTTTATCTGTAAAATACATACACTACCTATTATATATAATTTTAGTACCTATTTGTTGTCCTGAATTTTTTTCCCACTCTACCTCAATGTCTGTGCCATAAACACAAAATTTGCCACGAGTATCACCGAGTGGGACATTATACAGATATTAGGATTAGGAATAGGTAGGTAACCTATACTATTATACTGTATAATCATAAGTATAGGTCATAAAATAAAATATATAATATTTTTATTACCTTTCTGCATTTAGATTCTAAACTTTAGAACCTACTAAGAACCTACCTATCATAATTTAGSTTTCAGAAACGAACACTTTTGTAGTGCCTACATATTATATTAAATATTAATTATCTGTTATAACCAATATGGCAAAATGTAATGCATATACACCCGCAGAAATTTTTCTAGTGTTCTCGTGTTTTAAAATAATAACCTTTTTGATTAGAATCTATATGATACCTATTTGTATACATCAGATTTTGGATTTCAAATAATTACCTACTATATAGATACCCATTATTACCCAAACATTAGGTACTCGGATTACCAGATATWTCCAAAAATTCCTAAACTGATTATAAATAACTATATGAAATGTTTATCCTAGTATTAAGATATTATACTTGCTAGTAGCTGTACWTATACGACAATTTCATAGTTTCATTTATTTAACTAATATTAATTAGTCCAACTTCTCATAGATTAGGTTATCTGCCATCTGGTTAACATTATTTCAGAAACTATGAGGCCTTTTTAAGTTTGGTGGTCGAATGAAGAATTTTATCGGCTTTTTGAATATGCGTGTTATATACTATAGCAACTTACGGAATATCTKCGAARAAAATAAACTGATTGCATGTCAGAAACTCGTTTAATTGAAACGCAGTGTAAAAAATGGAAAATTAGGAAACCGTATACATTTTTAGATGAATTTTATGGTGCCATCTTGTAAATTGTACCCAGARAGTAATATAATAATACTCGTACTCTATTATGATTGTACCACAGAATATGACATTGTAMTATAATTCTATGTATGTACTKTGTAATGTGTTGGTCGGCACCTGATATATTTTTCAATGCAACCATGCGTACAAGATTTCTTATCACTAGCTGAGCAAAAATGGGCATACATGAAGATAGTATGTTATCTTAAATCGTGATACATTCATAAACAAACCATGTTTTTAAATCAGTTTTTAAAATTAATTATGAAAGAACTGAAAGAAGTATATTCTTAAATAATAAAYCAAAAATTGAATCGTCGCACAACTTCTATAAAAATACACAAATATAGATTCAAAGTAAGTATATTTAATGAATATTTATTAAATAATAGGATATATACTTAGAGACTGGCGATTAGAATGTATAGTTCACTATGAGTTAATATGCAGGAATTTAAATGATTACGTCTTACATATGTCCTATAGGCCATACTTTTCTAGGATTTAATTARATTTGCTATTTCTGAGTTTTTCTGATYAATATAATTTTTGTTTTATACTTAAAAATGAAAATAAGGTTTTGTAATTTATCAACACTCGCATTACTTATAAAGTTATAACAATAGCATGCAGGTAGGTAATTACTAATTTATTATAATAATATAAAAATGACAAGTTACTTGCTTATAATTCAATRTTTTTTTGTTTTAGAAAGATATATCATGGAAGTTGAAACATTGTCCTCTAAGTTAAAAGGTGATCGTCCACCTGTTCAGATAATCCAACATAAATCAAGAAAACGAATAAGCCAAATTCAAAAAACCAATTATCTGAAGTCTGATACTTCAATAATAATTGATGAAAAAGTTAATTTAAGGAAATTACAAAATGAAATATTWAAATTTACAACTCACTTTGATGCAAGGRATACCAAAGCAAAGGAACAACTTGCTATTAAATTGGGGGCAAAACCTAGAAAAAAAGAAAATTTAAATTATAAACAATTAAAAGAAAAATTAAAACAAGATGCTGAAGTGAAAAAAAATCAAGAAGAACTTTTTAAAATGCCTAAAACAATGGTGAGGACATCAAAAAATAATAACAAAAGATCAAACATAAAGAAAAKGAAACAATCTACTGATATAATTAAAAATTATGGAACTATAAAAAATAAAAAATAAGATGTTAATGTATTAAATTTTTGCATACTATTAAATAAATATTGCTGTACAGTAAACATTTGTTTTTTTTTTAAATTTCAAAACTAAAAACAAAATTTTCATATTATAATGTGAGTTGTTGTAAATTTTGATTGATTATAAGAGTTTATGATATGGATATATTAGATTATATCTACATAAAGCCTTGTAGTAGGACTGTCATAACTTGTTTAATTTAAATTATTTACATCATTCGAATGGTTGGACCACAGATGGTAGGTCATATAATATTGGCATCTTAATAACTTGATTTATTAAGTGTTTCTAAATATTGTCAATGCAGAATATATTTAAATAATATACTTGTATCAAACAATAATAATAATATGAAACTTAACAAAAGATCATCAAATATTGAATAGATAAATATAATATAATATAAAGGGTTGCGCCAAGCTGCAGCTTGCGTATTAACATTTTTTTCTAATACTGTATAATAATAGGCATAGTTGAAGCTATGGACAGGGCTAGTCAGGCAATGGCTTTACCTAACATTGACCTTACAGTATTTAAAATAAACATTTTTTTGTACTTAAATTTTTTTTTCAAATAAATCATTAGGTATGTCCTAATTAAGTTTTCTAGTTCTGCTTATGATAATAAATTTCACTTTTTTGCTCTTCGTATGAATTTTCATTCAATTCTGTTGAGTCATTTATCGCTAGACACTTGTGTAAYATGCCTATTACCTTGTATGTTTAGTTAATAGTTTATTTAGAACAGAATTACTCATGTGGCAAAGGCTATGCATGAAGTTTTTTTTCGATACAAAGTTTGAATTAGGTACCAAACAGAATAGATTTTAAACTTTTATTTAGAAATTTACAATTTTTTAGTTCTTTTATAGCCTTCAATTGTTTTCTTTCAAGTTTTTGTAAATTTAAATTGTTTACACACATTTTATCAAACATTTTTGTTTTGTCATATAAAATATTTTACACATGCCTTATAGATATACATCATACTTAAAAATGTTATCTATATTTTAGAACATTTTTTATTATCGTTTTATGTTAAGTGCTTATTTAATAATTTAAGTTAAATACACAATTTATTATTTGAAAGTACCTATTTAAATAAATACAATTTTTTTCATTTTTTTGTAAACTATATTAAGTATTAATATAATTTCTTTTCAAAAAAATTTGATTTATGATTAAATTTTTCAAATGTTGATACTTGAGTGCAACAAATTCACAAATAGTATACTTTTTGTAATAAGTTTTAATCTCTTCTATTCTGCATATTTTTACTGCATTAGGTAACTTTGTTGGAAAAATAGGTAATAGAATAATTTGTCAGTATATAAAACTAAAACAATTTTGTTGTTTTCTATTATTGCTTAAATTTTTATTTTTTAGGTAAAACATATTACATGATATTATGGTGATATTATTTATTGTATTATTAAATATTCATTGGTAAACTTTGAAATATAACATTTACAATATTTACATGTATATGTTTTGCTGTCAACTATTAATTAAGGATATCAAACTATCCATTAGACTGGTAACAAATTCATGTTGACTATCGTTTTCTGGTAATAAAGTTATTACAGTTTGTACTAATTCTAAAGTTTCTCTTAATAATGACTTTTCAACATCAATGGTCACCTGAAATTAAAAACTTTATAGTAAATAATTTAATATTTGTTATGTAAAACTCACCKGACTATTAAGCCAAGAAACGATTTCTGGACTAAAGTGTACAATTTTATCATGAAAGTCTAAATTACTAATGCATACTTCAAATTGCAATCTATGTTTGATTACATTCATTAAATGCTTTACAAGGTTTTCTTTATTGTGGACAACTGGTATGATCTATTCAAAATATAAACTATATAATAAGAATGTGTTTCTTATCAAATAAAATAAAATATTGATTCTTTACTTCTTCAGCTAAACGATCGTGTCCTTTACTATATAGTGAAACAACTTGACATATTCTAAGATCATCTAAATTTAATTGCCAATCAAAAGCYAATTGAAATATTTTATTTATCCAAAACATACATTCCTTGCTTTCAAACTCATATTGACCATCCTAAAAAAGTTTCAATGAAAAAAAAACAGTTTTGTCTTGTTTGCTCGTATCCCCACTATTATATAYACAAAACCATTGCTCATAGTTCTTCGCATTTCATTGGTTGGCAATGTTAACAGAATATAATAAAAGCGGAGAACCACACTTTAGACAAGGCAAGGATGGTATGCATATCACAAAGTTGTGATCATACCTAGTTATTAAGTCATGCAATATTTATAATTAAAATTGCATCAAATGAGGAAAACCTTGATTAATTATTTTAATGTTATATTATTATGTTTGAATTTATGTATTATTTAGCTCATAATTATTTGTTATTATTTTTATAAGTTATCACTAATTAGATATATATTTTTAAAAACTAAACTTTAATTTTAATTGTTTTTATTGATYAGGTACTTAAAATTAAAAATAATATTCTGCTTATAACAGAATACCATTTTCCATTATTTAAACAGTAAATGGTGAAAAAGGTTATCACATTTATACCTCACAATCTTTTTGTATAAGGCCGACTGCTGAATTAATAGAATTGATGATGAAATTAGTTTTTGATTTCTTAACTTTAGTCCTTGTCATTTCTTGATTGAAGGTGTTTTGGTTCAAATTAGAAATATCAATTTCATGTATCTATAAAAATAATTTTATTATTAGGAAAACAATATTTGTTGAATACCAACTTACATTACAGTCAAATAGACTATTCAGTGGTTTATTTATGTGTATTGAAAATTTGGCTAATATATGAAATGTTCTAACAAATTGATGAGACAAAAAAAGAGTTTCTTGATCAGGATTAGGTCTATTTAAAGCTATTTGAACAAGAGTAAGTTTATGTTGRTTATTGGTTTTCCAATTTTCCCAGAAAAAATCATGTTTTATTTCAGCAAGTTCAACTTCTTCGGCTAATAAAGTTGCCTGGAATATTATAATTTGATTACTACCAAAAGAAGTTATATTCTTATTATTAT